AGACGTTCAGCCAACGTCCGTGTGCGTGACGTCTGAGGCTGAGACTATTTTTATCATAATCGTCCGATTCTAACTTGTAAAAAGCATTCACGTCTTCATAGAATCCATAATTACAACTTGCAAACTCTCAATTTTCTCAGAGTTCAGAAGTCAAATATAGTAGGTCATAATATAAAATGGATTTTAATGTAAGTTAAATGGTATATTAAAATGAGTATTATAATATTTAGTAACATATATTTTTTTGTAATGTTACTTGAAATAAAAATAAAAAAATTCAAATAAAATAAAAATATTTTTTATATAATCTAGCTGCCAAGATAACATTTCTTGATACTAAAATAAACAAAAACTGAAATAAAAATTAATAAAAACTGTACCGATAACTTATATGAATGACAAAAACATACAACAAAATGACTAAACCTTCAACCAAAATGAAACTTAAAATGGAAAATATAAAAAAAATAATAGTCCACACCACAACTATAACGATAAAGGCACAGAGAAAAGATATCGTTGGAATCACTTTCAGAACGATTTTTTCCAGCTGATGAACGATAAAACGATGACAGCCAATCAGAATCCATCCTGCTATAACGAGCTCGAGAATTTAAAGCGACAGACGTGCGTGCGCTTAGAATAAACCGACGGTATCGTCCGCTGGTGTGGACGCTAATATCGTTATCTTTATAGTTATCTTTCTTAGTGTGAACGAGGCTTAACACAGGGTTAGATATCCTGCTAAACAAACTTTATTTATAAGTTTATTTGGAAGGCATTTTGCATAACTGAAACGTGCTAAATTGTGTTTCCGTCTATCGATTACTCAACTGTTTTTGTAATTGTAATAAATTCTTGTATTTTTTCGTTCAGCACCACTATTTGTGGGGAAAATAGCTCATGACAGGAAAGAAAAACACGGTTTTGAAAATGGCTAATATGCTAATTTACTTAGCGGTGTTGTTACCTTTTAACAAGTAATGAGGTATACATTGAGTGATTGTGAAAATGGCCAGTGGATTCAAAAATATGTAGCTTAAGATCTGTAGAGGAGTGTAGTTCAGCTGTGTTTTTCCAGACCGTGTTTGATTAGCAGTGTTGATGTAAACACTGAGGAGGGTGAAGACATTTGAGTGTTTATATCCACACTGAAGCTGCTGTCTGGATGACCTACTTAACAGACGGATGTGTGTTTGTCCCTTTGACCGGCATCGGAGCTGCTCCACCGAAATAAAACTTAATAAACTTCTCTGCTGACAAACCATTCCTGCTCTTATATCAGTCACCTGATCTCAGCGTGTGTGTGTGTGTGTGTGTGTGTGTGGTGGTTATTAAAGGAGCAGTTATCAGGAGCTGAAACTGCTGTCAATTATGTGGCCTACTTTTCCTTCATAACACACGGATGGCAGAGAGGGCCTGAGAGCTCCTGTGCAAACAAATCTCACGCTTTATGGGAATCATGGGATTGATGCTCAGCAGTCTGTTGTGCAGCGAGCACATCCTTTTGAGTCCCGTAATGCCTCATCTGTAGCTGACATATGCATCTGTGCGTGATATAATTATAAACCTCACATGGGACATATGCTATGAGGCTACTATTATAGTATGTTGTCGTTCACATATTATAATGTAACACAAACTGTCCTTTTCAGACCACTTGTGGAAAACTTAATTTTCATTGTGTAGAGGTTGTCCAGTCAGTCATAAAAGCGATTAAAGTACAGCAGGAATCCATCCTGTTTATTATTAAGTGTCAGAGGCTGAGATGCCATGTGAAACCAGATTGTTTTTTGGTGCAAGTAACCTTGACTAACATAAGACATATTCTGCCCTTACATGGGTCAGTGATGCGACTTATTTGTTAATTTTATTCATATATAATTCATACGTGTGATCACCTCGAGTACACCTTTTCTACAATGTGCATGCGTTCATTTCTCTATTAAAGTTCATTTTGACGTTTCAATTAAAATTGATAATGATAAAGCCCTATTAAAAAAAATATTCTTCAAAAGATGTTGTTTGGCATAACCTTTTATTAGTTTTTGTTAGAAATAACATTTTCTATTTAAGGCAAATAAATAATATATATTTAATGCCTTATTATACAACGGATAGTTCCGGTCCTTGATTCTGATTGGTTGAGCCGCGTTCAAAGCTGTTGTAAATTACTCTACAAACATACATCTTAGTTTACTTTGTGTAACTTTGTTGCAACCACAACTGTTTCAGAGGAACTACATTGTTTGGTGGAAGAATACTGTTTTTATTTATATCATTACTCTTTATTTGCTCTGTTTTATTTTGTGAAACCTTACTACATATATGGAATAACCATTTTATAAAAGCAATAAGCCCCAAGAAGCCGTGGTTTACAGTGAATTTATAACAGCTAAGGGGGTTCTAATAACGCCCCTTAGCTGTTATAAATTCATTGTAAACCAAGGCTTCACAGGGTTTATTGCTTTAATAAGACTAGATTAACCTGAAAACGCATAATCCAAGTCATATTTGAACAAAACTGCTTATTAATATTTGGACAGATGTTTATCCACCAAGTCAAAGTCATGTGGTGTGACGAGCATGCATTAAAAAACATAAACCTAAAAAACAGGGAAAGATACAGACCTTTATGACTGTGTTTGAAGGTCAGTAAGTTTCTTAAAATATCAGATTTTTTTATTTTTTATTATTATCAGGTCAAGGTTAGTTTAGGTTGTAAAATATCACGTGGTGCAAATCCCTAAAAATAATTATATTTAAACATTCATAATATTTGTTATAAAAAGCATTTATTGGTTTATTTATTTACATTATGGTGTAAGGAAAATGTGATTTACTTTTTATTTGTTGATTATCATATGACATTTTTAGTTATTAAATTAAAACATTACTTGAAAATAGTGTAAAAGTTTTAAAACCATAAAAAAACAATATAGCAGTATATACCATATGAATACAGAGTAGTCCCATTATTTAGAATTTTATTTTATTTTGGTATTGTCCCTTTTAATTTTTATAGTTGTAGTAATTTTGTTTTTTATTTATTTATTATATATATATATATGTATATGTTTTTTTTCTGTGTTTATCTATTGTTATCTAACCAACATGGGATCAGATAAACTGAGCTGTTTTTGTTTTTGCTCAGATGTGCACTCCACGCAACACTCCCGCCACGCCGCCCAACTTCCCCGACGCCATCACTATGTTCTCCAAGCTGCGGACGTCTGAATGCACGGGCGGCAGCGGAGCCGGCGCTTCGGCCCAAGTGTCTATGGCGTGTTCTCCTCCTCCCCACGCCTCCGCACAGGGATTCGGCTCCTTCTGGGCCTCCTCGCCCCCCAACCACCAGCCCGTCTGGCTGCCGCCGTCCTCTCCCACAGGTCACCACGCGCTCCATCACCACCACCATCACATGCACCAGCCGCCCACGTGGCCGCCCGTCTCCCAGCCCGCCAACGGCCAGCAGACGCCCGTCATGTCAGCTCTGCACGGCCAGAGATGAGACTCTGCGGCGGGGGAGACGCGGGGAGGGCCGGAGGTGTAAATTGGGGTGAGGATACACGGTTTAACGGGGCGGGAATATACTCACTGAGACTTTGGATGGCCAAGGGGGAAAGATGTGGTACTCTTTCTTTCAGTTTTCTAAAGATGAACAATCTCTCTTCTTTCGGAGATCTCGTTTTGATCGTTTACCTATTGTCGATTTCATTTCTGTCCAAACCTGGGAAGAACCACTAGGAGAAAAAAAAAATTATGGAAGTCATTAAGAGGTGTTAGAGTCCCAAAGAAGCCTCTTCTGTTTCGCTATCCAACAGCGAAAGAAAGCCACGGAGTCGTCGGCAGTGGACGATCAGGGCGAATGTGTGTGTGTGAATCTTCGTTTGTTCACCGTATTCGGACTCTCTCCTCCTCTGTAGCGCTGTGTCGGCAACAAGCACTCGCAATAAAACGGCTGACAAACAATAAGACTGAATCACATATCATGGTGGTCGTGTCGTTCTGCATCCCAGGAAGCATCAGGAGGACGTTTCTGTAGAACTAGTGTCTATTGAGTTCTTAACAGAGGCTGTTATGAGATGATTAATCACCTCTTATTTGTTCGAAATGCACAATTTCAAGTGCGTCGAGTTGAATTTATTCAGAATCAACAAAAACTATTGGTCCAGATATAAATGGGGAAAAAATCAGGAAGAGTTTGCAGTAATCCTGGTCAGAAAGTTCATTCTTGTTTGGTAAATTTGCAACTTTTAGCATGTATGCGGTTAAATCAGGAAAGCTTGTGTTTAAACTAAAATCGTCATTGAGGAATACAGACTCGAGTTCAAAGATGTGTTTTGTGTTTGTTTGTTTTCCCACCCCCAAGAACTAAAAATGCTAGCAGACTCTTGTAAAGATCTGAGCGGTCTGATGTTTGGAGGTCCAGCACAGCCGGCGTAGTAAAGCTCAGCTCCACCTACCTCAGCTCCAGCCGTGGCCTGATCCTACCTCCGGCGGCTGAATGGGCTCTCCGTGTGAGCTGCTGCGACCGAGGGCTCAAATACCTCACGCTCTCTGCCGAACACGCCGTGTGAAAGCGATGAGACGTCTCCGTGGACGAGGACTGATCTGGTGTCACATTGGCATTTGTGTTGTACTGATTGTAATGTAATCGAGCGGGAAGGCTGACCCTAGATCAGGACATTGATTGGCAGTGGTTTTCTGAGATGACGGGTTTCTTTAGTTTCGCATGATGTCACCTTCCCTTCATTCGTTCATCTTAGACAATCACTTTTGCCGTCTTGAGGTTTGAATTCATGGTTTAGTATGGACCTCAGTCTGGCTGGACGCCATATTTAATGTGAAACGACTGAAAACGAGGCTGTGACAAGATAAATGTACAGTTTTGTTCAACATCGTTCTGTTACATCGGTCGTTTAGTTGATTAAACATGAAATGTGCCATAAAAATTTTTTTTTTTGGTCAAAATAACTATTATTCATAGCAATTTAGCAGTATTTCATAAATTTACATTTCAGTTTAAGCAAAAATGGATTAATGAACGATCCACACAAGAATTTTGTTCTGCTTTTTTCAAACTGTAGATTCACAAAAAAAAATCACTGCGTGAACGCTTAATTCCTTGTCACATTGAATTGAATTTGTGTAAATTTGCGCACATTTGACTTGTTTACACATTCTTGGTTAAATTGTCATATCTGTGTAACTTCAGCACAAGATTTTTGCACATGGTACAATTTAACAGAGAATGGATTTACAAACCATTGAACTTAAAACAAAAAAAAGAACAAGTTTGGTTTAATAAGCAATTTATCCAAATTCATTCTGCTCTCACATTCTTGGTTAAATTTTCCGATTTTAAGCACGAGCAGAAGGAAATTGTAAATGTTCATAAAACCCTCATACATTATGGTTTGTGAGGACAAGAAATAAGAATGGTAGTACAAACAATATTTTACAAAATTTGGTAATGTGCATCCAATCAAAGTAAATGCGAATTTGGGTCTTTGAAAAGGGGGGAAAATTACACAAAAGTAAATGAGATTCGAGCAATATGCTGTGGACGACTTTCGACTCATGACTTCAGAAGACTTTTATGATGGTTTATTTTATATTATTTATTGTGGTTAACAGTGCCCAGTATCTGCCCCACATTCACTTTGTATAACGCACAACATTTTGGACATTTTGCACGTAGTATCTTTGTTAAATTAAATATATTATTTATTTTCCATGAAAGAAGCGATTTTGGATTGGCATTACATTGGGAGAAATAATGGCAAGATTGTCATTTCTGCATAAACCTATCAATTTTTGTATTTACATACATTACAGTCCTTTACAAAATAGTACCATGGTGTATATAATATCACCATTATGTGATTTGTACCATATATTACCATTTTATATCAGAATAATACCATTGCTCATTAATTACAATATTTTTTAAATTACCTTGTCAATCATATGTCTTTTTTATTTTTTGATGAAACCCTGTGTCAGTAATTTGGAAATGACGTCTATGATGTGCTACAGGAAGTGTGTGGTCTGCACATGGTAAAATTGTACACTGAGTACCTTTGTATCTGTGACCTCAGATTGTTCTAAAAACAAAATCCAAATTGGAAACAGGGTGGCAATGAAGCTACGTGGACAAGGTCATGAAATGAGTCATTAGTCACTCCAAACAAACCTTAAAACATCAGCTTTTACATCACTTTAACGCAAGACCTCAATTATGCTTATGATGAGTGTTTAGTAAATTGACATGTTATACATGTGTAAGATTCAGTGCGATAGCTCACTGTAATGACGACCATGGTGTTAACACCAGTGGTGTTATAGAAACACACTATATTGCCAAAAGTATTAGGACACCTTCTAATGAACAGGTTTGACTACATTAGTAATTTTTCAGTACAAATCTTATAATGAATTGTGTGCTTCTAATTTTATAGCAACAGTTTGCACAGGACCCTTTTCTATTCTAACACGACAATGCCTCTGTGGATAAGACAAGGTTCAAAAAGGAAATCCACTTTTGGCAATATAGTGCATTTCCAACACTGCTGCATCAGTGGGACAGATTATCACCATTAATACTTCAACTGAATAATACATCTGACGGATATAATTGCTGTTTATTAAAGCGGTAGCTGTATGTTGTAAGAGGTAGATTTGAGGTGAAACAGACATGAATCTATACCAGATACTTTGTACTGGTTGGAACTGATTGAAAAAATGTTCACCAACAAGTACAGGGTCAAATTCATCAGATCAACACTGCGAGAGAGTTTAGAATGTAAAAGCAAATTAATACTCACATTGGATGACAAACAATGTTTTGCATATTTAATATGACTGACGCTTGTGCAAAAAACATTTATTAAATCTTATATAGATATTCTCAATGTTACAGAGGAACCTTCTGTTTCACCTATATAGCTTGTGTCGCGCACTGCTGTAAACATTTCATTCAGACAATGGAGCGGCTCCTATTGGAGGATCTCTAGAGTGATGTCACCGGCTCATCTTCTGATTGGCTGAGCTCTTTGTGGAGCTCCAGTGCTTCTTTCGGCTCTGTGGTGCTGTCATGGAATGAGGTCTGGAGTGGGACGTCCTGGGACAGACAGTCCATAGAGGACAGGGGCCGATCTTTCATCGAGGTGCTGGACGCTGTGAGAGTTGGGGGGGGGGGGGGTTGTAA